AACTGGAAGCATTCCCATTGAAATCAGGAACCAGACAAGGCTGTCTACTATGTTTTCTCTTTAACATAGTATTTGAAACTCTTTCAAGAGTACTAAGACAAGAGAAGGAAGAGTAATAATATTATGGTATTATATCTAAGAGACACTAAATATTCCACCAGAAAATGCCTAGAAATTATTAACACATTCAGTAAAGTGGCAGGTTACAAAATTAACCTACAAAAGCCTATATACCAATAACCTTTATCCATATCCAATAACCAATAATAAGCCTTTCTATATACCAATAACAAGCAATCAGAGAAGAGCACATGGAAACATTCCCTTTCACAATAGCTGCAAAAAAAAAAAAAATCTCAGCATAAACCTGACCAACGACATTAAAATCCTCTATAATGAAAATTTTAAATCTTTAAAGAAAGAGATTGAGGAAGACCTTAGTAGATGGAAGGACCTCCCATGTTCATGGATTGGAAGAATTAATAATGTGAAAATGACCATCCTACCAAAAGCCATTTATAGATTCAATGCAATTCCAATAAAAATCCCCATGATATTTTTCACAGAATTGGAGAAAACAATTCTAAGATTCATATGGAAGCACAAAAGACCTCAGATAGCCAAATCAACCCTGAGCACTAAGAGGACTGCCAGCAGGATTACTATACCAGATTTTAAGCTGTATTACTGAGCTACAATCATAAAAAAAACATGGTACCGGCACAAAAATAGACCCATAGATCAATGGAACAAAATTGAAGACCCAAATATGAGTAAATGCAATTTCAGCCACCTGATATTTGAAAAAGGGGCCAAGAACATCCACTGAGGAAAGACAGCATGTTCAGCAAATGGTGCTGCCAAAACTGAATCTACACCTGTAGAAGAATGAAACTAAACTCTTATCTCTCATCTTGCACAAAAGTCAATTCCAAGTGGATCAAAGACCTCAATGTAAAGCCTGAAACTCTGAAACTGTTAGAAGAAAACATTGGCAAAAACCTACAAGATATGGGACCCAGGGAGGTAAAGGAAAAGAAAGAACCTGAAAGAGAAAAACAGTAGGAAACAGGCCTTAATAATAGAGATAGGGATAAAAATTGGGTTATTTTAAGGGAGAGGGGATGGAAGAGTATACAAAGAACCTAGGGGATAAAGGGAAAGAAGGAGCTCAAGAGAGATAGGACCATAGGAGAAGGGTATTATTAAGGGAGAAAGGGGAAAAATGGGGGCATCTTAATTGGGGAAACCATGATGGAGGGATTAGACAATGCGAGAGATGAATAATGCGTAGCTAGTTTTAAAAACCAGAGGGAACCATATTAGTCCAACAACCTACTGAAAAATTATACATATCAGATCAAGAAATATATGGCTAGGCAAGGTTTATGTGAGAACAACTGGTCTTTGTTCAAGATTTATCTACATGGCACACAGTAATTAAAAGTACGAGACTGGTGGAACTAACCTTCTTGGATGTTTTAACAGACATACTTTGAGGCCTATACTAATTTGGTCAGAGGGACATAAGGACAGTTTTTGCTCCTTGCCCTCCTAGGTCGACTAGTTTCAGGAGATTATGAGCATCTCTTAAAATGTCCTGTAATTGTTGTGGGTCACCTGTACTCTTGGTTCAGGAGGCCAAGGAGACCCCACGAGATGGACTTGAACCAGTGTCCAGTCTACAAAGAGGAGGGTCAACACAGAGGAATCATTTCCTCCATGCTTCTAAGCGAAGTCAACCATGGTTGAGCAGGACCTTTGACTTATTTTCACATAGGCGGAACTGGTAAAAGAAAGGAGCCAGGGGCTCCTCCCAAGCCCATGTGA